TTAGTTCAGTGTCACTACCCAAAATATGTTACATTAGTAGTTTTGGAAATTGCTAAAAATAATTTTTTAATAAAAACGTTTAGATAGAAAGATTAGTAAACCTAAAATAATAGTATACCTTTTTTTAGTAGCCTATTGTTAGATTGTACATATTTATACTTTTTTGTTGTACTTAATTCAGACAAATAGTAGATAAAAACTGATTGATTTTCAATAGATAATAAATTAATTTTAAGAAGACAACTCAAAATTTGTATAGATTATCGAATAAATCTAAATGGAAAGATATTTCAAAGGAAAGTATTTTCAGTTGTGAAAGAAATGATTGTGCTTTACCTAATTTAGTATATATGAAAATTATTAGAACAATATGTCTTTTAGAATAACATAATATAACATAAAATAACAACATTACAGGACAAAATGGACCTTTTTTGTCCATTTAGGCCGTCATATTCACTAAATTAAACAAAATACTAAAAACTTAAAGAAATCCCTTATCATTCAAATATTTATGAAGGTCTCCTTTAGACTAATTGCATACACTACATCCAAAGGCAAACCATTCTAAATCTGAAACACCCTGTTAAAAGTATGCAGTTGTCTTAGATGAAGGTGACTCTTCCCTGCTGAAATTTATATTTGTGTCCTCTAGTCTTACCATACTTACCATTAAATATGAACAAAGATATTGCATCAACACTATCAATACCTTAACAATCTTAAACACCTCAATTAGATTCCTTCATTCTATTCTTTTTTAAAGAGAAAACAAGATTAGAGATATTAACCTATCCTCATATGACATCCTTTCTATCTTAGTAGCCCTTCTCTGAATCCTTTCCAACAATTCAATGTCCTTTCTAAAGCAAAACCCCAGGACTTAACACAGTGCTTTAAATGAATGAACACAGTACACTTATACAATGATATTAATACCTATTTAGACTTGTAATCAATATTTCTGTAGATACAGCCTAAGATTCTATTTACTCTGCCACTAGCAACAGCACATTACTTGAATAATTTAAGCGATTGATCAACCAGAACACTAAGATCCCTGTCTTCCATAACACTGTTAAGTTTGGTTATTCCCATTAAAATTATACTAATAAATCAAATTATGATATCCCATGTGCATTAATTTCATTTATTATAATTAAAAGCCATCTGCCATTTAGTTTCAAAACTCACCAAATAATTCAAATCTTTTTTAAAGCAATAACATTATCTTCACAGCCAGCAAGATCTAAAATTTAATATCATCAGCAAAGTTAAATAATGTATTGACCATTCTATCACCTATGCCATTGATATAAATCAAAAAGAGCAAAGTCCTTAACAATGAGCTCTGACATTACTACAGCTTGACAGAATTTCATTTATAACAATCCTATATCTTCTTCCATCTAGCCATTTTTTATCCAATAAGCCAACCTATCCCCCACACCTACAGATGTTTTCTGAAAATCCAGATACACTAAATCCACACCTGTACCCTGATCTACATAAACATTAATCTTTTTCAAAAATGTCAAAAGATTAATAAAAAATTTCCTCTAGTGAAACCATGCTAACTATCGAACAAAAATTTTAACTTTGGTAAATGACTTTGCAAAGCATATTTTTCAGACTTTCAAAATGTTTTCCTACCAGTGATGTAATACCTATAATTACTGGGATAATTTTTATCACCTCCCTTGAAAAGAGTAGTAATGATGACCAACTTCCATTCTTCTGGTACCAGCTCACTATTCAAGGATTTAGAAAAAATAATAGCAAGAGTCTCATATATCCAATCCTTAACATCTTTCAAAACACTTGGATAAATATTATCTGGCCCAGGATCTTTATAATTCTGAAAACCTCTAATTCTTTTTCTTGAAAAGCTCAGAATTAATGCAATGATCTTGTTCGGTCTTGCTTTCATCTATCAACTGTTGAGAAATATCACTTAAGTCTTCATTAATAAAAACGGAAGATAAAGTAGAATTCAATAACCTAGTTATCCTGTAATAATCGGGTATTCGCCTTCTTATATCATCTCTTAAAAGTCCCATTCCTGTGTTGTTACGTCTTGTTCGTTTGTTAATTTCTCGTAAAAATTCTTTCCGAAGAAACTTCTGCGATACAAGTCCTTTC